TACCATATAAGATTTCAAAGGTAGTTAAGCCATGGGGCCTGGGGCATTCCTGGCCCGATAGAAAGCTAGTGTCAGGAGTTGTACTCAGTTTGTCGAGCCAGTTTCAAGCATTAAATTGGATAAAGCCACCTTAATGATTCTATTCATTCTTTCTACGTGTTCTAAACTCTGGGGTCTATATGTACAATGTAATTTCCAGTTGATCCGCAGTTCTTCTGGGCAGCCTGATCTACAGATAGAGTTCCAGGATAGCCAGTATTGAAAATCTGTGTTGGAAATTCAATAATGAAAAAAAAATTAATTAATGAGAAAAATCTACTACAAAATGACAAGAGTAGTAGTAGTTATACTTGTAATCATAATCATCCTCCTCAGTCCTCCTCATAATCATAATAATAATTAAGATTTTGAACTATCCAGCCAGGTTTATAAAGTGTGTTCCAAGACAGGAATTACTACACAGCCAAACCCTGTCTTGAAAAACCAAAATAAATAAATAAATAAATAAATAAATAAGAAAATAAAAAAAGAAAGAAATGTATGTTTCTGCTTTGGATTTAAGAACACTCTAACCATTGAGGAATTACCCTTGTCAACCAAGACTCACTAGCCAATCAGGGAATCTGGGCCCACAGGCCAATCTAAGGTTTTACAGGAAATTTTTGGAGCCATGCTGCAGGTTTGATTTTATAGCACAGCAGGCACCATTGGATTGGTTGCTCTGCTGTGAGTGCTGCTGTAGGAACTGTGAGGAGCATGGAAGAGCAAGGAAGACATAGAATGGTAAGCAAGGGAATGCTATCCTAAGATGAAGAGGATGGTATTTAGAAGCAGAGACTGTGAGGCAGGGACTCCCTGAGACTGGTTGGAAACCTAATGACTCATTCAAATTTCCATGAGATCCCATGTAGAACTAGAAGTTATGCAGATCAGGGTGCAGAATGTGATTACTTTAATTTTGGGGCTTAATAAGAGGAATGCATTTCAATAAGGAAGCTTTGTGTGTAAATGTTTTTTGTAGTCAACACCAAAATGCTTTTCCTGAATATGGAAGGGAAGTATCAGTACATGGAGGGGCACAGTTTGCCCAGTGCATTCAAGATGTTCTTAACTTCACATCTAACATTTCAGTATAAGATGAATTAGGAGTTAATTTTATACATACTGTAGATGGCATTCTTTTTATTTCTTTATATATTTATATTTATTTATATTGTACTTTAAAAATCTTAATAAAAAGATGTTATTTTACTTATAGATCCCAGCTCCCTCTCCCTCCCATCCTCTCATACCACCCATCACATCCCCTATCCACTCCCTAGGAAGATCAGCCTACCAAGAAGCATCATCACAATCTGCCCTTTGTGGTAGGGCCTTCTCCCATGGCTGTAGGCTAAGGGAGATTCCCCATTTGGAGTCAATTTGGTATATCCTGCAAATGGCAATAATTTAATTTATTTTTTTATATTTATTTAATTTATATGTTTTTGTGCCTGGGTTTATTGATTTTTTGTTTCAAATAAAGTGTTTCTTTGTAAAGGTTAGGAAATTGACCTGGGACTTGCTCTGTAGAGCAGGTTAGCCCCAAGCTCATAGAGATGCGCCTTCCTATGCCTTCGTAGTGCTGAGATTAAAGGCATGGGTCACTAAAGTCATACATAAATGACATTCTTGTGTTGGATAATCCTCCACAAATAAGCTATGATGAGAAAAATTAGAATTAGAATTGTTGTTACAAAATATTTACCAATTCTTACAGGATACTGAGTAACACAAAATAGAATTTAGCTGAGAGAGTGATGCCTAAAAAATAACCCAAAGATGAGTAGTACTGTAACCAGGTCTGTTACAGATTGGGATACTAAAATACACATTTGATCTCCAGTCTTGTGCAGACAGTTATCTCCAAAACATGATAAAGGAGACACCCCTGATTTATAAAGAGTAACCAGCCCCATCCTCATCCAATAGAAAATGGCTTTTTATAAGCTGCTCAAGGGGTCACAAATAGGTCACAGTGAACATTAAAGCCTGGTGTGCCATAAAGTTCTAGTTTTCATATACAGAAATTTTTTTCTGCCAGATGGAAAAGTTGAGACCACGTGACACCTTTGTGCATCACAGGGTTGCTTTTGTGTTTTGTGGGGACATTCACTGATAAACTGTAAGTTTGGCTTCTGCAATTTATGAACATCTCATTCAAAATTCAGGTTTTCTTACATGATTTACACAAAGCTTAGAAACTTTTAAAAAGAGGTGATGGGGATCTTCATTCAGCAATACATGATCAGAGTGCTATTAACATTTACCTACCACCCACAACAATGGTGTGATTCAGAAAGTTGAGTTTCTGGTAACAAATATAATTTCTGATCTACAGTAAATTCTAAGGCGTGCATGATGTTGAATTTTACAACTCAACTCTGCGATGATTCATTGTTTCAATTGGTGATGATGACCTCCTTCATGATTGGAGTCTGGCCATGTTTCCCTTCCAGTTGAATGCTACATAACCTCTTTATTGTGACAGTTAGCTATTACTGACTTATTTATTTAATTCTTTAAATTATTTAAACGACAGAGAATGCCATCACTGATTATGATTAATTAGGGTGCAAAAATCTGTCAGGGACAAGGTTAGGAAAGTTGTAGACATGGGTAGAGCATTTTTTGAATGATCTATGCATCTCACAGAGTACTACGGATGCTGGGTGATAAGAGTCCAGAAGACTGCAGGATGCCCTCTGAGAAGTACAAAGACTTCATCAAGGCCAGCATGGTGGTCTAGGTGTTGACTACCTGTTGTTCCTCCACAGCTTCACATCAGTTGTGACCTATGATGAGAAGAAGTAGTGACATAAGGAGGTCGACCCCATCACCAAGACCTGGCAAAAGGATGATGACCCAGAACACGGAAGAACATCTCTCTTTCAGCTCTGCTGGTGATGCCCCTGCTGCTGCCATCTTTTCAGCTGATATCAACCTTTTGGCTACTACTGCTATGCCAGGATTGGGCCCATTATCTCAGTTCCTGCCGCACCACAACAGAGATTCGGGTGCTGGTCATGATGGCAGGCCAGCAGAATTCTTTAGGCAAGACAATATGATGATCTGACGATTAACATATGGAATTTTTAAAATCCGTGATGACAGCATACTTTTCCATATCTGGCAAGTCTGCCCAGGAATTGATGATACAAAAAAGGTCAACAACTTACATAAAGATGTAATTATTAAATTATTTCATTATATAATCTGGGAAGCCTGAAGTTTGGTGTCAAGTGTGACAGACGATCTAACTATCTTATTATTTCATTATTCAAATCTGTCTTTTTCTACTACAGGAAGAATGGAGTCTGCATCCACCGTGTTGGTGTTAAACTGTCTCTTGTGATTTCATTATTTATTTATTTCTTGATATCAATGTTGATATCATTTTGTTATCGCTCTAGGGATGAATTGTGAGAAATTATCTCTTTATTCATTCATTTTGAAAGACCTAAAAAGTAATGTTAATGATGGACTAACCTGGAAACCAATATCTGTTCCTTGGAATTTGCTAGCTTCCTCTCACAGGGCCCTGAGATAAGAAGAATTCACACTGCCCCTCCTTTCCTGTGAGTCAACAGGTGGTAAATAGGGTCAAGAGATAGCTGTAACTCTGGTTTGCCCAGACAAGATTAATTAACACACCTGAGGCCCTAAGGCCTGCTGACCCTAATAGCAGACCATCCGGCCTCCAAGGGTCATGTACTCAATGGAAAGAGGGTCCCACCCCCTCCCTAAGCTTGTGGGTTTGCCTTTAAAAACACCTGGGCCCAGGGGAGGGGGCTTCTCCCTAGCCTGTGTGCGTTTGCACAAACGCTTCCTGTTCATTAAAGCCTCTTGCGTTTTGCAGCAACTGGACTGGATATTGAGTTCTTGGGGTATCGACTGAACCTGGAAGACTCCTCATTTTGAGGGTCTTACAATTTTATTCCTCAAATCTGTGAGAAAGAATGCAATGATGCCATTGCTGCAGACGCGGAGAGAGAAGGCGCCGCCCTGTGCCATCACACACAGAGGACCGCCCAGCCCGGCCCTGCAGGGCATGCAGGGAGTAATACTCCCTGGCAGTGGCCTTGGGAACAGAGGCTTCATGCAGAGAAGCAGCCATCTAGGTAGGACACTGAAGGGCGCTGGCGCACCAGTGAGGACACAGACAGTGACCACTGTAGGCATAGCAAAGGACTCTGGGAATCATAGTCCCCTTCCACCCTGAGACGGGCTCTCCAAGACTGCGGGGAAAATTCCACAGTGTGGGAAGGGGAGGGGATGTCGTCGGCCAGTGACATCACAGGGAGCAAGGTCCTGGGAAAAGTAGTCCCGGAGAGCAGCAGTGAAGACAGAGGCACCATTTCTGTCATTCTTTTTTGAGGGGGCATGGCTTCCTTTCCTCACGTGACCCCATCCTTCCCCCCGGAAACTCCGCCCACAGGCCCCATAGGCTCCGCCCCGCCCCAGATGGCCCTGCCCTTGCACCTGTCTTTCAGGGCCTGTGGCTTCCTGGGCATTTACCACCTGGGTGTGGCTGCCGGGCTGTAGGCACATGGGGCGGGGCTGCTGGGTGATGTCAGGGGCTACGCAGGGGCGTCGGGCGGGGCCCTGTTGGCAGCCATGCTGCTGACTTCCCCTGAGCAGCTGGAGGTGAGTGTGGGCAGGACAAATGTGACATGTTACTTGTGACATGTTACATGTCAGGGGTCACGTGTGTGGTTCCCAACCTTCCCACAGGCCTGCACAGGCTTTTGCACACAGCCTGGCCGAGGATACCAGGCAGCAACCACTGGGCGTGGCCACACCCAGCTTCCACCTCATGGAGCAGCTGAGGTGCATGGGGGGGTAAGGGGGTGGGGTGGGGCACAGGTCACACGGTACGTGTTACATGTCATGGGTCACGCATGTGGATCCCATGTCAGGGGTCACAGGTCACATGTGTCCCCCCTCCCCCGTACCATCAGGGACGGCCTGGACCAGATCCTCCCAGCCCATGCTCACGTCCTGGTGCAGGGCCGACTCTATGTGTCCTTGACTGCAGTGAATACATTCCAGAACTGCCTGGTGACCCAGTTCCTGACCCGTGAAGACCTCATACAAGTGAGGGGGCGGGGCCACAAGTGTAAGAATGTGTCATGTTCCGTGTTTCCTACATGTATGTTTCATCTGTGTTTGCACATGCGAGTCGCATGTTTGCACATACGTGTATCGTTTTGCTCATGTGTGTCTCATGTTTCTCCTCATGCGTGTCCTGTTTCCCCTCATGTGCAGGTCCTTCTCACCAGCTGCTTCATCCCCATCTACTCAAGGCTGAAGCACGTGGAGTTCCAGGGTCAGGTGGGCGGGGCAGTAAGGGGCGGGGTGGTTGGGTGTGGTCACGCGTGTCTATGACAAGTGACCCCGAACACGCGTGTATATTGTCGCGATTCCTCACATGTCCCCCGGCACCCCATCTCCCCAGGCCTGGGCAGATGGCGCCCTCTCGTGCAGCCTCCCCCTGCCCCCTGGTGGTCGCACCCTCACCATATCCCCATTCTGTGGACGCCATGGCATCTCGCCCCGAGACCCTGGCCAAGGTCTTGGCTCTTGCGTGCAAGAGACTGGACAGGATGTGGAGGTGAGCCGTGTGGGGCTTCCGTGGCCACGCCTGTCACAGCATGCTCACACAAAACTCACTTCTGGCCCAGCCCACACACACTTCTGGCTCCACCCACACTCATTTGCGGCCCCGCCTAGATCTCCACGGCCAATGTTGCCCACCTGGCCCGAGCGCTCTTCAGCCGGCCAGTGGAAGCCTGGAGTCACTGTACCATGATGGCTTCTGCGACGCCATGAGCTTCCTGCGCCATGAGGACCGCTTCTGGTGAACAGGCGTGTGTGCACACATGTATGTAGCTGAATAAATGAAGTCCCTGTGATTTACATGCTTGTCGTTTGTTTTACACGCATGTCGTGCCTGTGGCTTCTGTGATCTTAATGCGCCAGCTCCACAACACTAATGTATGTCGCGTGTACACATGACATCCTGGCTGGCGCCGCCTCCATTACATGCAGTTCACATATGGAGTCATGGTGTTTCCATGTGAGCCAGTGCAGTGTGCATTGGAACCTGTGTACATGGCATGTGATCCCGTGTAGTTAACATGTGAGCCTGTGTATTTGACATGTGATCCCTTGTAGTTAACATGTGAGCCCATGTGCACAACATGGTATTCATGTCTTTACCATACATGATCATGTACTTACATTATGGCTTCATGTACTTACTGTGAGACCCCATGTAGCTAGCATGTGTAAATGGGTAGTTTGCATTGGTGTCACATACTTAGCATGTAAGTAACATGCGAAGTCATGTGGGCAACATCTGAGCTGCTGCAGCAAACATAGGAGCCCTCAGAGTTTACATATGGGTTCATGTAATTAACATGAGGACATGCAGTAAACACATGAATTCATATGGATAACATGTTTATATTTGCTTTACCAGGATGTGGTTGGGGTTGGAGGGGAAATAAATACGTGGTCGATACATTGGCGGTTGGGTTATATATGTGGGTTACATATTTGCACTTGCTCCACCTATGTTACATGTATGATATGCATGTTTCTTTTCAGTTGTTTCTTGTTATTTTCTGTTCCTTGACTTGGGCCAGGTTATGTGTGTGAGGGGGGACACAGGCGTTGGCAGGGTGTGCAGGGAGAAAACGTGAAGGAGGAAAAAATAAAACTAAAAAGAAGGGAAAGAACCCGTGAAACAATAACAGAGGAGACGAACAACAATGACAACAACAATAATAATAGTGGGGAAAGAATGGGCTTAAATACTAACTCACAGCACAATAGAAAAATTATAGGAAGGTTAGGCTTAGCTCCTACCTACCTGTTGTGTGTTGTCACCAGGTGTGTGTCATCAAAATGGGAAGACTACCAACAAAAGCCTTGGGGCAAGGAGTTCCCGCCAACAGCTTCAGGCTAGCTCAAGGAGCCTCAGGGGTGCATGCAGGGCCCTACAGGTCCCCCTTTCTTGTAATATAAACAAACACCTGCCTTAGGTGGCAGAAAACATCAGCATAATTCCTTACCCATCATTGGAGAAGTCACCCAGGCCCGTAACCTTCCTATCTTAGTTTAGATATTTGCCCCCTCTGCCTTACCCTTCACTGGTGAATAGTTTGTTCAGCCACATGTGGGCAGAGGCATTTTCTCTTGAGTCAAAGACAGTATCTGTCTTGTTAGAAAGTTGGCCCGGGCCTCTTTAGTGCTATGGCAAAATAGCACCAAGTGCAAGGCCTACAAACCCCAATGATCTGCCCACAAGTTGAAGTCCTTGTAAAAAGCTTTCTGCATTGGCAAGTGGCACTCAGGTTTCATAGATGTTAATGACCTGCATGGCTAAAGCATGTGTATAACATAAAAACTGATCACTCCAGGATTTCTGGAGAAAAATGATGAATTAACACAGATATGTGTGAAAGACAGAACAAGAAGCCATATGAGCTTCTCACAAAAATTCAAGTGTTCCTATAGGAAGTTAGTTTGTAAATTTAGTTTAAAAATGCCAGTTTGTACTAGATAATAAAGTGTGATTTGGGTGGCTAAGACTTAAGCCAAATCACCTGATAGTTGATCTACTGTGCTTGCAGGATTTACAGATTGGGAGAGGGCTATGGTAGAATCTGTTGCTTCAGTGGAAAAGGCAGCATTGGCAGCCATGATCCCGGAATCTCCTATCCTCTGTGCTACACACCTGGGTATGACCCTGCAACAGCTGTTACATTTGGCAGACCTGCTGAGAACAATTGAAACTTCCTCCAAAATTATTAGCATTGTTTACAGTAATAAGAATGGAACCAGAATACAGTACCTGAGATGAAATTGAAATTCTTGTCCTTTGTATAAAAGTATAAATTTATAGCCACTTGATCCAAACTATAATTAATGGTCTGGAAAAAAAGGCCACATATGGCTACTCAGACCCATGGCTACTCAGACCCACTGGCATCAGGATAGGTAGATTCTTGAAGACCCATCAGACCTTTTTCTGGCTGTTAAATCACCATCCCTCTGCACATGTTGAATCAGCCACTCAGGCACCCAAACAGAGTTATCTGCATCTTGTGGAAACACACAAACTGACCTTTGAGACCATACTAGAACTGGGTCAGGGCCTCCCCATTTTGCAGTAGTGACACTCTTCCACATAACTGAGCCATAGTCAGATGACCCAGGGCCCCAATGCCTGTTGGCCACAGATCGAGCAGCACCATCAATAGTTAAAAAATTTAAAATATAAAGGACAAGAGAAAGGTGATTATGAGGAGATCCTGTAAACTCCCCCTGTTTTGTTTTATGAAGATAGGCTTTAATTGTGAAATGTGCATGTTCCACCATGGCCTGACCCTGAGGATTATAAGGGATATCCATTTTACGTGAGATAATTTTTTTTTTTTATTTTTGCAAACAGCGTTAAAACCTTGACTAGTATAAGCAGGGCCATAATCAGGTTTTAATTGTCTGGGCATTCCCATATAAGCATAGGCTTGTAAACAATGGCTCTTAACATCCTTAAGCCTTTCTCCAGTATGAATACAGGCAAATATGAAATGAGAATGGGTATCCACAGATACATGAACAAATTGTAGTCGACCAAAGGAAGGAACATGAGTAACATCCATCTGATAGATATCATTAGTTGTGACACCACAGGGGTTAACTCCAAGGTGTGGAACAGGTAAGAACTCTGCACATAGGGGCCAATTCTTAACTATATCAATAGCTTGGTCTCTAGTAATTTTAAAATGGAATTTAAGTGACCCTGTATTAAGGTGGAAGGTTGTATGAGCTTTGCAGGCTGCTTCATAACCAGATTCTCTGATCATTATGATTGTACTACCTCTTTTAGTTTTAAAATCAACAATGGCATTTTCTTCACTTAAAGGGCTAGGCAAATCAGAATGCGCTCGGAGATATCCTACAAAAATTGGATGAGAGAGCCTCCATAGTAGGCTTTGTATGGCTAGTAAGTGTTCTTGTACATGAGAGACTGGAGCTATATAAGCAGCAGTTTCTAAGGGAGCCAATATATAATACACATATTTACTATCTGTGTACAAGTTAAATGGCTCATCAGAAAAATCTTGAAGGGCTAATTGTACTGCAGCTAGTTCCTCGAATTGTGCAGACTTCACTTTAAGTATAGAGCATTTGATAATGGGAAAAGAAACAACTACTGCACAACCATTTGAAGGGCCATCTGTAAATACATTATGGGTCCCCTTCAGAGGATTTTGGGAAATAACCTTGGGGAAACACACAGGGTGATTTTTAAAACAATGAGCTAACTTACTGGAAGGAAAATGACTATCAATGCAGCAGGGTGTAGAAAACAAGTAATGTGCCACAGTTTCATTAAACTGTTGAAACCATTGTATCTGTTGTTGAGTATAGGGAGTAACAATTACATCTGGCATCTTGCCAAAAACTTGAATACTCATTTTGTATGCCTTTTGAAAAATAGAAAGCATTGCCTGAGGATAAGATCTAACTGTCTTTCTTGGGGCTGCATGTTCATGCACCCATAATATAGGACCAGTTTGCCAAAATACCGCAATAGGGGAATACCTGAAGCAAAGACTAATAACATCAAGTTCTGAGAATAGTCAATATAATTTAAATGTGCAGGTTGGAGACATTTTTGCATAAGCTGTATACATTCTCCCACAGCAGGCATTAAGGTACGCGAAGAAGTGGGATCAGAATCTCCTTGTAAAATATCAAATAATGGTCTAAGCTGCCCAGTGGGTAGGGCCAAACTAGATCGAACCCAATTTATGTCTCCCAATAATTTTTGAAAATCATTAAGGGTGGTCAGATTATCCAGCCTTAAAGTAATCTTTTGAGGACGGATACCAGAAAATAACAAATGATGACCCAGGTATTGATAGGGAAATTCTTGTTGCCCCTTTTCTGGGTCTAATCTTAAACCCGCTAATTGAAGATTATGTTGCAATTCCCCAAAAGCCTCATTCATTTCCTTAGAATCCAGGCCGGCTAAAAGAATATCATATGTATAATATATAGGGATTGAAATTTCTCTCTAATGGGGGCAATGGCCAATGATACATAAATTTGCCAAATAGTGGGACTATTGGCCATTCCTTGAGGCAAGACCACCCATTGATATCTTTTATAGGGCTCTTTAAAGTTAATAGAAGGAATGCTAAATGCAAATCGCTCACTATCCTGAGGTTGCAAAGGAATGCTAAAAAAAAGCAATATTTAAGGTGGATAACTAATAAATGATAGCCTTGAGGAATACCCACAGTGGAAGGAAAGCCAGGTTGTGTTGCTCCCATAATTTACATGCAATCATTAACAGCTCGGATATCTTGTAGGAGTCTCCATTTTCCAGAATTTTTCTTTATAACAAAGATTGGGGTATTCCATGGGGAAGTGGAAGTAACAATATGTCCTGACTCTAATTGTTCCTTTACAAGTTGATGTGCAGCCTGTAACTTCTCAATAGATAAGGGCCATTGCTCCACCCACAGTGGGTTATCAGTTTTCCAGATAATAGAAATGGGACCAGGCTGCATAGCAATAGACCCTAGGGAAAATTTCCCAGCCCAGAGTGATCTCCGGCTCTTTTGATAATTAAATTTTTGGATGCAACAGACTGAGGGTCACCGTGTAGGAATTTACCCAGTCTTTTTCCTTGTACATAACCTTGGTCAGCCAGCATATTTTTAACAGGCTCAGTAGTAAGGACTGCTCCTTTGGCCTGAAGCACATCTCTCCCCCAAAGATTAACAGGTATATGATATAACACAAAAGGC